CGGCGCGGGGCAGCCCCTTCGAGCGACGGTGCTGGACGCCCGCGGGATCCGGCGGCGCGGCGGCGGTCTCGCGGGGCGGTGGGGTGGCCTGCTGTGGCGGCGCTCCGGCGATCCTCGGGCTGCGCGCTGCGGGGCGGCTGCGGTGCTCCCGTCTCGGGAGGTGACGCGCGACCGGTCTCGGGCCGGATCCATCCGGATCTTGCTTTGGGGGCCGGCCGGTGGCGGCTGGCTCCGATGGTGCGTGCCCGGCGGCTCCGGCGCTTGGAGCCCGCCGGGGCCGGGCGTGGCTGCTGCTCCGGCCGTGGGCGGCGACATGGGTAGGTCTCGGTGGCCTACCGGTGTCGTGCCGGCTTCACGGTGACTCGACGGATCTGTCCGCGGCAACGGCCGGCTCCTCCAGCGTCGGTTTGTCTGCGTTCGGGCCGTCTCGTCCTTCACCCCATCTCCTCGTCACCCAGACGCTACTCCCACCAAAGGGCTAGTCCTTTCCCAGCTGCGATCCACCGCTCGTCTCGCGCCCGATGCCGCAGAACAGAGCTCGTCTCGCGCACGATGCAGTAGGACCGAGCTCGTCTCGCGCACGATGCAGCAGGACCGGGCTCGTCTCGCGCACGATGCAGCAGGACCAAGCTCGTCTCGCGCACGATGCAGCAGGACCGAGCTCATCTCGCGCTTGGGGTAGCAGGATGGGTCGGTGGATGCCGGTTCTGGCCGACCTATTGGGTCTCGACGCTGGGGGTTTGCAAGGGGCGCGAAAGGTGGGACCTTTCCGCTCGTCTCTTTCGTTGGGGTGCGCCGGATCATGGGTGAGGTGGTGTCGAGGTCTTGGATGCTGGGGCGGCGGCCCTGGTGGTGGTGGTGGCGCGGTGCTCTTGGACAAAGCCCGCGCCTTGGTGTTGCCCGCTCATCATGGTCGTGAGGGCGGCGTGGTTGCCGGGGTGTGGCGTTCGGTGGCGGTGAATGTTGGCCGAGGTGAAAACCTGCTCTATCTTCGGACGGACCGGCGGCGGCGAAGATCGCTCCCTTCTTGAAGGCGTCGTCGCGGCTCTCATTGCCCGTCATGCGGCTCCAGGGGAAACTTTGATCCTTGGATCGGGCGGTGGCGGCGCTCCGGGTCGTTTCCTTCCTGAAGGCGCCGCCTTGGAGCGCATGGTTCGTCATATGTAGCTTCATATCTTCGGGGCGGTAGTGCTAGGAGTAGTGTTGCTGCGCTCAGCGCCTTTGTATCCCGTCCTGGGTGTATGCGTGTGTTGCGGTGGCGTAGCGTGTGGTTGTACTGGATGCTTGTGGGTTGTTGCTTTATATATAAAGCGGGGCGAAAGCCTTTTTCGGTAATAAGGCCTAAATTTTCTCTACACTTAATTAAGATTCCATGTTTGCTCATAAACAAAATGGAGAAAATCGTGAACAATATATGGTAACAAATGTTCCTATTTCAATTTAATATATAACATGATCCATTTATTAACATAGCTATATTATGCCGAGCTATCGAGCTAAAGTTGAGCGAGCCAATATTAGCTCAAGATCAGCTCGTTTCTTAATCGAGCTACATAAAGTGTTCGTACTCAGCTCATTTATTTTTGAATCGATCTCGAGTTGAGCCAAAAGACAAGTCGATCTCGAGCGGCTCACGAGTCTTGAATTTTTCTTGCAGCCCTAGACGTGGATGGTGCCGAAGCCGTGCTTAAATAGGCACGGGCCACGCGGCCACGCGAATGGACGGCCAGCATGCCTCAATGCGGCGCACCAGCCGGAGTAGGCTTATCGGTTGCCACGTCGCAATTGAAACGGCACCGGCCGCCGGCCGTTCGCATCGCTCAGACCGGCCTCACTACCATCTGGAGTCATGACCACTCTGTAGCGGGATGGCCAGCAAGAATGTGCGAGAGCCGCTTAGAGGCTTTTTGGGCGGAGGTCTTGGGTGGGATCGACCGGTCAGGCGCCTAGATTGCGGATGTCCGAACTCCCATAAACCTCCCCTAATTTGTGTACGATTTGCGAGATTTGAGACAAGCGGACACGTCCACGGACCAATGGGGCACTACGTTAAATGGCTTGTAGCGTCCGGACACATATGTCCGAATGTTTGGGGGCGTTTTGAGGGTCCACGTTGAAGGGCATCTTATGCATTTAATTAAGTGCATTGTCTTTTTTGTTCAACAATGTTCAAGGTTTGGACTTAATATTTTGATTACTATTGTTTGTACTGGAATGATTACTTCAAAAGCTTGACTTTCCTTATTCCTGAAGGATGTTAATGTTTACTCTGAAGCCATACATCTTCTCTAGAGATTGTCGATAATCATCTCTTCCTCTTGTTACATGTCATAGATAATCAACGCAACGCCTGTATTACAGGCCACAGCACAAATTTTGATAAACATGTTGATGAATTGACACAACTATTGTTTCGCAGGATTCAGATTCATGCTTTCCAGTAATCACAATACATGCACATGTTTGCTTCTTCAAATGCATATTAGTCACATCGTGCTATTCTCCATGATCTGGCCTTTACTCATCCAGATGACACTGATTCTGCAATCTCCTGTCGTTTTTTGGACTTTCGGTTCATATTCTCGCGCAATGCACTCGCCATGCCTACAGGCTACAGGTTTATCAGTCTGCTGTTACATTTGTACATGCATAACTTTCCCCATGAGCGGCCAAACTACATATCTACCGAGCGAACTACGTGAATCCAGAGAACTAGCTACAGATTGGTGAACTAGCTTGAGCTGTTGGCTGATTGTTCCCCGGAAAACATGCTTCCACTGGACATCGCCGCCGATCCAGACTGAGCAGGGCCCCCACCGCGGCTCCTCTGGATCTGCCTGAGCCTGAATATATCTGGCATGGCTCGACTCTGCGCAGCTGCTGCTGCGTCTTCTTCCTCTTGCCCTGCACACAGTGAGCCAACACATATTACATAAGCTTTCCCATTTTGTGTTTGTTAGACCGCCTGTATTAAACCATAAGACAACTTCAACTTGAATCAATCGTAACAAAACAAAATTTGTTCAACAAATGCCAGAGCACATAATCTTAACCGAACACAATACTGGCATTCTGGACCAATAAAGATTGGAGAGGGAGGGCGAGTACTTTCAACAGCCTTCCTTTTTGGAGGTCTACGAACTGATCCATTTTGGTTGCGGGGACCAGAGAGATCACTTGTGGCAGGGCCAGGAACTGGAGCAGACGGTTTGCCAACATCATGTCCTGTTGGCAGTGTGCTTTGCAGTAGAACGCTAAGCACAATGTCTATATCTGGTGATGGACCTGAAAAGACAAGAATACGATGAATATATGCAAAGGCATTATGCAAATCAAACCAACTTAGAAATAAGGCTATGCTGTGACTATGCACTCTAGTATTTTGTTCATAACCATGCTTTCAATTACAAAAGGGGCATGCCCACAAGAAATAGTCAAAAATTCTGAACATTTCTCAACCAATGAATAACATGCGCAAGCCTATGTTAGTGTCTGATTTTAAACGGACCGGCTATGTGCTCTAAATATAATAGCATCTGGCAAACATTCTACAAGCTATGCATCAGATGACACTGATTATTTGTACAGTAACTTGGCAGTACCTTCAATAGCAGGCAAATTTGTGATGAAAGACATGAGTGGTGGAGAAAGCATTTTGAATATTTCGTCAACCTCCTTTGTGTACCCACTGGATGTGGCTGAAATCACTGGTCCTGACAAATTAACAATGCTGCCTCATGAGCGAGATAGATAGGCAACTGCAACTGAACAATTGGTGCATTTACAACTGGAACCGCCATGCATCCAGTTCTTTCTCATTAAACAATGTGCCTACTCATCAATATAAATACCTTTCATCTGTCTAGGATCATAAATGACCATTCGAGAAGTCTCAGGACGGACGACTTTTGTAGACTGCGGCAATAACTTTGCATTGGCACCAACTCCAACAGTGCCTTTATCTGAGCCAAAATTCATAGGCATATTATAATCAGCAAACACTTTTAATAACATGACGGCACAATTAAGTTCATAACAGAGAGCAGCTTGCCAGCTTACCTAAGGTAGAACCGCCACCACTAGTTAGCATAACTGACCTGTCAGCCTTCTTAGACATGTTCTTTGCAAGCCACTGCAATTTCGAAAACGAGAAAGCATTACAAGTGAAATTTGTCACTGGAAACCAAGCATGGACTCTCTGAAGTGTCACAAAATACAGCCCTCATCCGACATAAATTGATGGTGAAGAACGCATTCTTTAGCCAAATCAGCAGAGAATTTGAGGGCTACATCCAATTTTGATATCGTATCATACTAGATGATGTAGTCCAACTATTAATTTATGGGTGTGCTTCTAGTTTCGCAATCAACACCACTTATTGCTGGAAGTTGCGCACCAACGCCGTGTATCAAATGCAAATGTATCGTGTATGATAGTTGTTATGCATAGTCAATGTACCTCCTGTCTTGACAGATAATCCAATTCTTTTGATGAGCATGGCCAGAGATCCATATAATTATATCTAGAAACAACGTCATAAAGTGTGTTCTCTAAGGACGATACGACATCTTCTGATGTCCTAGATAAAGCTTCCTTCCTTCTTTGTTCCACCTGAGGAAACAAAATTTATGAGCACACTTATGCTTTAGAGGGGGTAAAAGGACTTGGGCACATAAAAAGCAGAGAACAATATAAACTGACAAAAGATCCAACTTATAATGAACACCCTAACAAATTATATTTATATCTAGTCAGAGATAAGCCATCTAAATATAAGAAGCACTTGACAATGAATCTCTAAGTCTATCCAATAAATAACTCATAGACCCTGAGACTAATGCAAACTGACATAAAATAAAAGTGCTGCAAAAATGGGCCGAACATGACAATCAATGATAACCTATATCTGCACTTTGCTTAGAGCTTCATACCTTTAACATGCTTGACAAATCCCCATAAATCTGCTCAAATTGAGCAAATCGTTTCCATACCTGCAGAAGAATAGCAACATATATTAATTCAGAGAACAGACGGACAAACAAATCTATATCTATTTGCATGCTGCACCACTATAACAAATATCCCACAACATGAGCTCCCGAGGCTATGTGGTACACCACCAAAAGGTGGAAATAATATTATTGCTATTGCTGGTGCTCACAAGGCACTAATGCCAATTAAGAGATAGTTGTGAAAAAATGCACAGCTGAAAGGGCATCTCCTCATAATATAGAAATGTTGAGTAACTCAGAGCAAATAAAAGAAAATATTTACCTCTACGGATTCCTCAGGAGGAAGTAAGCTCAGAGCTCGCTCAAACAATGCACGTACATTTCTATCGTCGTTTAAGCGACACAGGAAGTCTGCATATCTAAATCATAGCACGAGTCTCAAAAAATCAACAAATTTGATTTGCCAATAATGGAACAGTGAAATGAACACCTTTCGACTGCCAATAGATGAACACAAAATAAGTAGCATAAAATAATGACTCAACTACAAATCTGACGTCAGTCAAATGTTTTTTAAGGCAATTTATGTTTGCCGAGGATGGCAAGTTTAGTTGGCTAGCATGGCAAATCCGCCTCAGTTCATTTTTTTGCCAAGAAATTGCCATGCTTGCAAACTAAATTTGCCATCCTCGCACCAACATAAATTGCCATAAAAAAACGTTCGATTTGCCATGCTTAAAAATCTGACGTCAGATTTTTAACATTACTGAATAATAGTGGAGAGACATTTGGTTGATGAGTTGGGACATTGATGGACCAAAATACAAAGATTAACATTAAGGTTTAATGATACTCAAATGGATACTTACTCGAGGACATATCCTGGTTCTTGCATAAATCGCTTTAAACCAACTTCAAAAACATTTTGAGCCACCTACAAGAGAATATTTAGCAGATACTGCACATATATGAATAACTGCAACCAGAAGAAACGTTGAATACATAGTGAAAAGGTGAAACCTAAAATACTACATAATCCCTTATTATTCAGTTATTTAAGCTCTTACTATTACGATGTCAACTGGCAGTTTAGGTACCACTTGCACCTTTATGGCCAACCTATACTCCAGGCTATTTGCAGGCATGGATACATATAAACCGAGGGCAATGCCAGCAAAAACTAGCATGCCGGTGCGTTCTCACAGGCTTGCAGCCACAGGCCACAATTCTAATCAGGTCTAAATGTCCACTTCAGCCCTCTGATAATCTTTACCAAATCTGTGCAGTTTCCAATGGTTGGTAAGGTACTGCATAGCACAAAGAAGGGTATGCCATGCCTACTCGGTCCTCTCTGCTGAGACAAACAACTAGCTGGGATGGCCAGACCCCAAACAGATGTCCTCTAAGTACCATCACAGACTGGACCTGAAAGCATTGTACTAGCTAGGATGACAAGTTACCTGGTACAAGGCTCAAAGGTGAAAACTAACAGTGTATAATGATGGTGATTTATGCACAGATATTGGATATCCTGTGACGTTTGAGCTTAAAGCTATGCCTTGGATCCTACTGAACCTACTTTCGCAAATTATACTCTTTGTACTGTAATCAAACAGATAAAGAACCGCACCAAGATAGCTGGCAGTCTGTAACGGAAAAAATGTTTGCATACATGTCATCACTTTAACAACCTTCGCATCTTTGTCGAGGCAAAACGACATTGTAGCATATGCAACATAGACATGATAAGTGCAGCTTGGCAACTTCCGAACTTCCAAAAAGTACTTGCGAGCTGCTTCAATGCCTTCTGTTCTCCTTAAAAACCGAATAAACTGCAATACAAAACAGAATGGTAAAGATACCACAGGAAGTGTAGCCATAACCATAAGTACTTTAAAGTAGTAATGGGAACAAACCTGAATGTGTGCAAGTGATGACATGCTTGCATTTTCAGCTATAAGAGACTCATATATTGTCTTAGCAGGCTGCAATGGGAAAGCCCATGCGAGGAAATAATGATCTTAAGAGTGCTTGTAGCAGTATGTGAGTGCTAAGGAAGCTACGCATTGTAGAAAAAATATCAAAGAAAGAAAATGGACCTGAATCGCCCCTACAGACTCTTCCAGTTCAGCAAAGGCATATTTTAGTACTTCAGAACCTATGAAAAGCAATAGGCAAAATAATTTTAGGAGTTGAAAGAACAGGTCAGGAAATGATACAGTATATTTCAGTTAAACCATCATTCTAGTCTACTGCTCAGTTCAAGCATGCAATTGGATTAGCATTAAGAATGCCTTGTCATCTTTGCATACCTGTCACACGCTCAGTGTGATAGAATTAAGCTGGAGAGTTATGTTCACAGAATAACGAATAAAAAATACAGAATAAGTGGTCACAAAAGATAAACCAGTAACTAGGAGCGGCTGCTACCAATCCATATTTAAAACATCCTATCGGGAAATGGATTAAATAAGCCTCACAATAAAAAAAATACTGAAGAGGGTATCACCACTGCATGCCCGCACGCATGCAGGCATCCAATAAACGGTATGGATCGATCAGTAAGAGATCCTAATACGGATGCACGTGTAAAAGGATTGCACATGCCAAGCTAGAGGTAACACGTCCTTAATAGCCTGTGGCACATCCATATGATTGAATTATAAAGATTCATATATTAATATGAGGGTATCTATTTTGATCTAAGATGTGAACTAAACTGTGCTAAAGTTCTAACATGTGGGCTCTCATCGCATTCACACAGTTGGTCCTGTGGGTTTTAATTTAGTATCCTCCTTAGTAATGTATTCAGCCTTCCTGGAAGATATATTTGGCGTTCCTTGATGGCATCCTATGGAGGTATTGTCTGTCCCCCAGAGTATATACCAATTCGTCAACCAGTTATTTAGTTCCGGCCAGTTAGCATTTTTTAGGTGGACTGGTATTGGGCCTGATCCCAATACAACTTAGTAACTTTCATGCTCATGGGACCCTGGCCCATCCAAACAAGGGCTAAGGCAGTAAGATAGTAATATGTCTTTCTCGATGGCTGGGAGGCCATAGAATATCCAGTTTCTTTTCCCACAGATATTTCTGCACTCTCTCTTAATCTTCCGGCAAACCAAGTATAAGGCGCTAACTTCCAAAAGGATGACGACTGGCTACCATAATCGAATTGACCAAGAGAACTTCGCAGGATATTCAATTACCAGGGAGTGCTTTTACAGCACGCTGAAATATTTTGATTGCAGAATCCGTAGAACCATTCTTTGCATGCCATGTAGCATAATCATACCATACATCAGGATGATGGTATAGATACATTAGGCACTGAAAATAAAAACAGGTTGATACAATTCATTAATGTCCCCGCTTATAATGGTAAGCATGGTAAAGGTGAGGTCTAATGACTAACAGTTTAATCTAACAGAAGTATAGAGAATAATGGGGTCATTAGCTATATGACTTCTTTCCAATATCATGGGGCAAGAGAGCTCAAAAACTGCAACAATAAAAGGAAAAAATATGCATGCCATTGAGTACATGAGGTTTACACATGCCACCATATCATCAGTTAACCACAATGAATAAGAGTGCCTAATTAGAATACTATGCAAAGCATAATTATTTGACTACAGATTTAACACCAGTGTGCATCTATGTTCACATACAGAAGTTAGCTTACTTGCTCATAAGTAAAGGTAATACGCCTATTAGCAGCTGTAACATCAATTCTTTGAGGATTCCCCCTACAGTAAACAGAATACTTAGTGTTAGCAGAAATGTAGGGAGTAACCTCAGAAAGAAGTGAGAGTGATAAAGGTGACAAACTGATATGTCAAGTTAGAATAAAGAAACATAGCATACTCGATAATTGTCCTCACTGAATCTCATCCAAGAAATAAAGAACTCAAAGATAGGTTGCAGACAAATTTTCGAGATCAGAAACAAAATACATTGATTGGGGCAGAGAAGAAAAATGAAAAATATCTATATACAACAAAGAAATAAAATTGCCTTGAAGACTTGCATCAACGGAAAATATTACTGAAAACTGGAATCATGATTACGCTTAGCTAATTTGACGCAGATGTTTACTCACTTTTCGAATGTCAGAAGTCTTTTCCATGCCAAACACTGTTGCTCTTCCTGTGAAACAGATTAATGAGTTCTGAGTTACCTGCCAGTTAAATACTGGCATGCATCTACTACCCTACCAGAGAGGATTTCAGAAAACTATTCAATGTGTCGGAAGATTTACCAGCAAACCATAGACAAGAGAATTATTAAAGGCATGTAGGGAAAGACAAAGACATTAGTCTGAATTCAATTATGTGCATTTCAAATGATACAAAGAGTCAAAGAGTGGTTCTTAACAGTAAGCATATACCTTCTCAAATACTGATCTCGATTCAGAAATTGACAGGTGTTGTTGGAAAGCCTGCAGTCAAACTTCTCTTTCTTTGACAACATATAACAACTATTTAGGTTGGTTGGGTGGAAATGGTACCATTAGATTTATCACTAAACATATTTTCATAGAATTTTAATAAAATATTCATAGAAAAAGTAACGGTTAAAGTTGTATACTGGAGACCATGTCCATATCAACAACATCATCTATCTATGAATGGAGAGAGTATAAAATAACTAAATAGGATTTTACTAACACATTCATAGAGAAAGTAACGTTAAAGTTGTATACTGGAG